TGGACATGATGTCTGTTATGTTATGTCTTATGTTTCTGTTCTTCACTGTTGTTGCAGATGCAATGTCTCTTCCACGTGGTTCCTACCATCTGTTATCTTCGACAAAACAAGAAGGCCTTGAAGACAGCCTGAGCTACCCTTCAACTTTCAGACTCGTTATTTCCCTCAGAATCTTGACCACTTTAGTTTCCAACCAGAGAGCTACATAATTTTCCACCAGAAGTACCTCATCAGCAGCCATTTCTGGCGCAAAGGTGGCCCCATCTTTGTCTACACAGGCAATGAAGCTGATATTGAATGGTTTGCTTCCAATACCGGTTTCATGATGGACATTGCTCCCAAGTTTCAGGCTCTTGTTATCTTTATCGAAGTAAAAGCTTTTCTAAAATCGCCTAAAGCATCATCTCTTGTCCTGAAGAATCTAACTTTAAAGTTAATGCTGGTGTGCTTGTCTTGTTTTCCTCAATTCTTGCAGCATAGATTCTATGGAGAGTCGAAGCCGCATAAGTTGGCCAATACGATGGGATACGTCAACTCACAACAAGCATTGGCTGATTAGGCAATCTTGATAAGAAGCTTGAAGCAGAATCTATCGTCTGAGGCATCTCCTGTCGTAGTATTTGGTGGCTCTTATGGTGGAAGTAAGCTCTCACAATTCTAGTGAATTGTTCACTCTTGTTATTACACATCGGTTCTTAACTTCTTATAAACACTCTTCTGTTGTACTCTGTTTCCTGAGACAGTGCTTGCAGCGTGGTTCAGGCTAAAGTATCCGCATATAGCAATCGGCGCATTAGCATCCTCTGCTCCGATTCTTCAGTTTGATAAGATTGTTCCGTCTTCAAGCTTTTACGACACCGTGTCTCAGGATTTCAAGGTCTGTATGTTTCTAACAGGGTTTGTATAAGTAGTATTTTTAATGATTTGCTTCTCATGCCTCTTATAATGAGCAGGACTTGAGCGTTAACTGTTTTGAAGTCATCAAGAGAAGCTGGGGAGAACTGAACTCTTTCCTTACCATGAAAGATGGCACACAAGAACTCAGCAAAAAGTTCAGAACTTGCAAGTATAAATCTGCTTGACAAATCTAATCTTTGAGCTCTCTAACCTCTGTTGTTTCATCCTCTAATCTTTAACAATCGTAGGGATCTTCAATTTATCCCTTCAGCCGCACAGTGGCTAGAATCAGCCTTTGTTGATCCAGCCATGGTTAATTACCCAACTGCAGCAAATTTCATGGCTCCACTACCTGCTTATCCAGTGGAGCAGGTAAGACGTGTGAGAGAGTCGAGTATTTGCGTTCTTGAAACAAGATCGGTTGACAACAATCATCTTATTGCATCAGATGTCAAAGATCATTGACGGTTTCCCACTAAGATCTAGCAGCAATCTTGATCGTGCGTTTGCAGCTGCAAGTTTATACTACAACTATTCAGGTTCAGAGAAGTGCTTCGATATAGAAAACCAAACTGATCCGCATGGACTCAACGGTTGGGGATGGCAGGTATATTCATGGGTCTACGTTTTCTCTGTTTCTTCTTTTATTAGCTTAACAGTTCACAAGGAAACAAAATGTGTTATTGAACTTGCTAATGGATCAATGCAACTTCCGGATGAAATAAAGGCGTGCACAGAGATGGTGATGCCAATGAGCCGTTCGAATCGAGCATGTTTCTACCATTCGAAAACGACAATGGAGAGCAAGAATTTTGTATGCTGGCATACGGTGTCAAGCCTCGACCACACTGGATCACCACCGAATTTGGTGGAAAGATCAGTTTCATATTTTTTCTCTTTTCTTCTCCAGATAACAGACCTAAAGCTCAGCTTTTGATCATAGTCTTTATGTTACAGAGAATAGCGATGGTGTTGAAAGATTTGGTAGTAACATTATATTCTCCAATGGATTGCAAGATCCATGGAGCCGAGGAGGGTCAGTCCCTCATCTCACCTTCTATGTCAATATATAATCTTCTAGAACACGTATTTGATGTTATCGGGTTTTTTCAGGGTTCTGAAGAACATATCGAGCACCATCATTGCGCTTGTGACCAAGAAAGGTTAACATTTGTGACATTTATGGGGGATTCACACACACCTCTGTTATAAATTAAAAGACAATCTGAACATAATTGTTTTGTTTAAAGCAGGAGCTCACCATACGGATCTCAGGGCTGCTACAAAAGATGATCCTGACTGGCTGAAAGAACAGAGGAGGCAAGAAGTTGCCATTATAGAGAAATGGATCAGTGAGTATCACAGTGATTTGAGACAAGAAGAGCAAGACTTAAGTAAAAAAGAACCAAAACACCATTAGAACATTGTCTGATTCTCAATGTGTGTGGATGATATCGTGTAATGAGGTCCAAAAGTAAAAAAAACTAATCGATAAATAAAAGAGCTTTACTAAAGTATAGTACCATTTTGAGAAGATTATGGAATATAAAGGGTAGAATAATAAATTAGTTAAAAGAAATGTGTGAAACAAATGAAAGTATTGCGCCTTTTCGAAAAGATTATGGAAATCAAAAGATAAAACCGTAAATTATGTACAGTGTTAACGTGAGAAAGGCACCACCGACATTGGACCGGACCCATTAAAACGCCGTCGTTTTTGGCACTTTTCCTTCTCTACTTTCTCCGCGTTTGGCACATCGACACTTTTAGCTGTGTTTCTAAATTCTTCCTTTTTTTTTCGCTGACAGTCTTTTCACACTACTCGACATTGTTGTTCTGCACTTCGGACTCTGTTTCGTTCGATCGAGCATTTTTAGTTGTATGCTCTGTAGCGATGGTTCGTCGTTCTGGAGATTGCATGAGATGTCTGGTGATTTTCGCGGTTGTATCTGCTTTAGTTGTGTGTGGACCTGCTCTTTATTGGAAATTCAACAAGGGTTTCGTTGGATCCACACAGAGGAACTCTGTTTGTCCTCCTTGTGTCTGTAATTGCCCACCTCCTTTGTCTCTCCTCGAGATTGCTCCTGGTACAACTACCTTTTTCCTCTGATTGGATCTAGATGTTCCTCGTTTTATGAATTGGATTTGTGATTGCGAGTTTGTGTTCGTAATTTCTTGTGAAATTTGGTTCCTTTTTGAGTGATGATGAGAATTTTATTTGGATCTTGCTCTGAAGCAAATGTTTTTGTCTGGTTTCAATATTGGATCTTTTAATCAAGCTGTCTCTTTTAGGTTTAATCTTTTTGTTGTCTAAGCAGTAAGAAAGAATCTCCACTTGTATATTGTTTAACAAGTTGATTTTTTTTTCGTTTTTCGTTTGCAGGACTTGCAAATCTCTCTATTACAGGTTAGATCTCGATTCTGAGCTTGATTTTGTTTAGCTGCTATGCCTGTGTTTGTTTCCTTTACTGTTTTTTTTCTGCCAAGTTTCATATAATGGTTAAATAGCTATTGAGGAGATTTCATTTCTGTTTAGGGAAGTAGTTTGGAAGATTGGTTTTCTATGTCTGACATGGTCCTCCTAATTTCTGAGTCTAGGATCTTACAAGTTATACTAAAAATCGGAAATTTTGATGATTCAATAATCCATAGAGGCTTGACGGCAGAACAGGCTTGTCAATTTTTCAGTGTTACTCTGATCAGTCTCGGACACTTATCTTGTCCTTTCTGCAGCATGATGCATTACGTTTTACTGATATGCAACAGATAGTTGCTCTTTTTTGTCCTTTCAAGATGTTCCCTTCTTTGGTGTTTGATAATAGAAAATGAATCCTCACTTGTGTTGTGAACAGATTGTGGAGGTGATGATCCAGAGCTCAAACAGGAGATGGAGAAGCAATTTGTGGACCTTCTGACCGAGGAACTGAAGCTGCAAGAAGCAGTTGCAGATGAGCATAGCCGTCATATGAACGTTACTCTAGCAGAAGCTAAAAGGGTTGCATCTCAGTACCAAAAGGAAGCTGAGAAGTGCAACGCCGCCACTGAGATTTGTGAATCAGCTAGAGAGAGAGCTGAAGCTTTGTTGATCAAGGAGAGGAAGATCACTTCTTTGTGGGAGAAGAGAGCTCGGCAATCAGGTTGGGAAGGTGAGTAAACTGATTGCACTTCTCAGTCGATCCTGACGAGTTTTTTTCTGAGAAACCAAATTTTCACAATTCAATCAAGAAAAGGGGAATTGTTTAATTGTCAAGGCAAAGTCCTATCTTCCACGTTCTTCATATATGTAGTATTTTTGTTTTGCCCTCGGGATCAGAATGTAGCTAAAAGAAAGGCTTGGCCTTGTATTGACATTCCTTCATATACCACTAAGTTACACTTGCTTCTCTCGACGTTGGTTCTGTACTTTATGGTTCATGTTCATCGGCAGCCTCAAACCATCACATTCTCAGTACCTAAGATCAAACTTAAACAGACCCGAGTTTGAAAGCTCGGGTTAATCTCGGGTTTGTTGAATGTTACATCTCACCAAGACTGAAAAGTTTGTGAATCGATTCGATTGCATTGCAGCTAAGATTTGATGCCTGTCTGTGATATATCTCTGGCTTAAGCGAAGCACAAGCGGATCAAGAGTTACTTGGACTCTGTTTTCTTCTTCGCATTAAAAACTAACAAAGACTTTTTCAGACGTGAAGAAATAGGAGAGTTTGTGAACAGAGAGAAGAGCTTAGAAGAGACAAAAGCAGAGAAGTCAAACTTACTTACGTTGACATAACTATGATCGCACCAGGTATCACGCGGTTTCAGTTTTCAATATTCCTTCATTCACAAAAACAGCTGTATTCATTTATATTTTCACAGCCATTAAAGTACTCTGTTTGCATTATTCTATTACTCAGAGAGACACATAAAAGCTTTAGATCTACCATTAAAAGAAATGGATTTAGGTTCAGTGACTTTTGCAAACCGTACACTCCATGTGGGTTGTAAAAAAAAGATCCATAAAGCAAAGATAGCTTTGAGACTTTGGTTCTAGATTCAACTAATCTCTGTTTCTATTTCTTCTGTGTTCTTCTCTGAAGCTTCCTTTGTGTAGGAGTAGGACTTGTGCTCTTTTCTCAAACTTAGGAAACTGCATTAAATTTCTTAGCTCTCTTGGCACAGAGTTGATCAGTTATTACTTTAAATGGAAAGTTCGATGAACAAGAGAGAACATGGACACAATCAAGACTATACAGATAACTTGCCAGAATCAAAGAGACGGAAGCTTCCTGCTTTGGCAAGGTAAATCATGTTTTACAAACGTTAACGTGTCATAAATTCGATTGTTTTAGCTGTGATTCTGAACTCTTTTTGGATTTGGAGAGTAGCTTTGTTGAGAGATGTTCATGAGTTGCACTGCCCCAAAAGCATAATACTATGAAGATATCTTGCTTTTCAAATTCTCGATAGTCTTGCAAGGTCATGAAAATTTCTCAGACGTTTGAAAACAAAAACTGTTTTACAGTGTTATCGTGGAAGCTGTCAAGGTAGATAGTCTTCAGAGGCTATGCTCGTCTTTGGAACCATTATTTCGAAGAATTGTGAGTTTGATATCCCATTTGGAAGTTTAATTTCCTCATAGACCAAATCTTGAGATATTTTTGGAGTTGTAAACTTGGTTATGGTGTGGACCAATGAGACAGGTCAGTGAAGAGGTGGAGCGTGCCTTATCGAGGTTGGGGAACTCGAACTCAACTTCAAGGTATGTCTCTAGTTCTATACTATTTTTCATTTGATGGAATGGTTCCATGATCTTTACAGGAATTTGAGTTTTCAGATCAGAACCAAAGGAGATACAAGGCGTCGATGGAAGAAGCCTGCAAATTCGCTTTAGAACACGAATGCCTCCTCATTTATTCACAGGTGGGAAAGTCGAGGGAGAGCAAGGCTCAGCTATTCACGTGGTTCTAATAGATGCAAACACCGGAAATGTAGTGGAAGCAGGAGAAGAATCGAAGACGAAGCTGAATATTGTTGTGTTAGATGGAGACTTCAATGATGAAGACCATGTAGATTGGACGAGAGAACATTTTGAGAGCTTTGAAGTGAAAGAACGCGAAGGGAAACGACCTATCTTGACTGGTGACAGACATGTGATACTTAAAGAAGGTGTAGGAACTCTTGGAGAACTTACTTTCACCGACAATTCGAGCTGGATTAGGAGCAGAAAGTTTAGGCTTGGTGTTAAGGCTGCATCGGGGTTTCACATCCGTGAGGCTAAAACAGAGCCTTTTGCTGTTAAAGATCATAGAGGAGAACGTGAGTTTCTTAATACTTTGGACTGACTTGAGAAGCAAAGAGAGAGAGAGTTTCTTGTACTGTTTTTCTGAATCTTGCGTTTTCGTTGGTGATGTCTTTTTTTCCAGTATATAAGAAGCATTATCCACCAGCTTTACATGATGAAGTCTGGAGATTGGATAGAATAGCAAAAGATGGAGCGCTACACAAGAAGCTACTAAAATCTAACATCAGGACTGTTGAAGACTTCCTTCGAATTCTTGTGAAAGATCCGCAGAAGCTAAGAAGCGTATGTGCATCTTTAATATGTGAACATGTACACAAGAAGCTGTTTAACATTCCCGGTGTGTGTTTGCAGTTACTTGGGAGTGGTATGTCAAATAGAATGTGGGAAAACACGGTGGAGCACGCAAAGACCTGTGTATTAGGTGGGAAACTTTACGTCTATTACACAGATCTGACGCATAATACAGGCGTTGTCTTCAATCATATATACGAATTTCGAGGCTTAATTGCCAATGGCCACTTCTTATCTCTGGAATCTCTTAACCATGACCAAAAGGTAAGCAGCCATTACTCTGTAAAGCTAGCTTCTTTCTTCTTCTTCCCTCCAGAATCTGCGGTCTCTTAAGATCATATTCACAAGTGATGTAAAGATTTGAACTTTTGTGCAATTCAACAGATTTCTGCAGACATTTTGGTAAAGACGGCTTACGAGAACTGGCATAAAGTGGTTGAGTATGACGGTAAGCTGCTGAATAGTTTACCAGCCACTAAGAAGGAAATAAAAAGCTTGCCGGAGTAAAAAATGGCCATTGCGCAAAAACTCAGAAGCCTCAAATGCAGCAGAAGACTCTGCAATGTCATCAGACTGCGAATTGCTACTCATCGACTCCTCAGCATCCAATAGCGTATCATTTTGTGCAACAATGTAATCAATTACAAGACTACAGACCGATGGAGAGTTCTTCGGTTTCAGGCTCATATAATGGAGGCCTTGAAGATATTCTCAGAGAGGAAATCCGGATGAACAATGTTCCAACAACTGAAGTAGGGATTAGTTCATAAATCTTTGCTGAATGTGTTTTACAAGGGTATAAATGTCGCATGGCCACAGATCCTGTTCCTTGCTTTTGTTATTGCTTGGCGACATGAACCTATCTGTGAGGGCTGCCAACATGATCATTTAACGATATGATCTCTGTTTTTCTGTGTCTCCCTTTCTGGCACCAATCTGAGCCTTTGCTAAGTGATTCTTTGTTGATGTGATATCATGCTAAGGTGCCCTCAAATAGCACCTATGTCCCACATAACAGAGGACGAGATATCTTACGAGACAACAGGAGAACGGAACTAATATGGATGTGAAAGAGGCCATAAACGAAGCCTGCAATTTCTGAAGCCTGAAGGTAATGTAATGTATTTTTGTGGTTTCATCAGAATCTTGAGCTCATCAGTTCTGTTTCTCTTTTTTGCAGGAGGGCTACCACACACCACTATGCAATATCTTTCTTGCTGGTAATCATGTCCATCATCAATATTGGTGATGATGAGATTTGAGAAACTCAGAAAGAAAATGCTGGAGTGCTTGGACCTTTCATGAGAAGTCAGAAAATTTTGTTTTGAGTTTTTTTATCAGCTGGCCTCGTGTAATCGTGATGACAAGGTGCATAAATTAGTAGATATCATAGAAAGCCATTACAATGATTAGGTTGAAGATTTTGCCTAGTACAAGATATGATGGCATAGTGTTGCAGAGATGCTTGAGACCGATGATATGCAGAGATTGCTCAAGACATTTGGGATGTCAGGCGGGTTTAATCATTCCGATGAGTCCTCCTGCTACGGTTTCAATGATCAGTATGAAGCTTAGATCGATAAGGGTTATGGAAGGGAACAACGTAGAGGCTCAGGGAAAGCTGTGGTTGGATGGTTTAAGCTTAAAGCTGCATTGAGATAGGGTATCTTTATACGCAAGAAAGCTGCAGAAAAGAGGCCTCAGATTGTGGAGATTGACTAAGAAACTATAGAGATTTTCGTTGGTGCCAATTTGAAGCAATTACTTGTCTTGGTTCAACTTCAATCCCGCGTTTACCAGTTGCTTATTTTCTTTAACTAATTGATATAATATAATCTAAGTAACTTACTTGTCTCGCTAAGGAACAGATGATAGCTCGATGAAAATGCTGATTACATCTTTTTTCTCTTTAAGCTTCCTACAAGTAATCATATGTGTTACAAACACAAACCCCAAACTTGGTGCTACATTACATTTTTGTTTTATACAGGACATCGAACATCGAGCAAATATCCTAGAACAGAGCTTATATTCTACAGTAAATACCTCCCTAGGTTCATCTTTGTTCCTCCAATGTATGCGCCTGTGCTTAGCATTGGTAATTTTGATCACATTAAGGAAATGAGCATATTCCTGAGTGTTCTGAGTTGGGAAGCACATGCAATTATCTTCTGATTCTCTGCTACTACCACCATAAACCCAACCTACTTTTTCCCGAATCTCAAACACCGATTGTGCTTAGTTTCAGTGATACTAGGCTCATTGGTTAGTTCTTTAGGTGGTGGATTGGTTAAGGAGAGTTTCTCCATTGCGTTTATGAACTTGCGCAAGTGCTTAATGTACTCAGGATAAGTCTCAAGGTTGCAATGTCCTCCTCCTTTCACCCATAACGGATCATACTTCTCCTTCGCCAGCTCCCACAATCGCTTCCCGTGCGATAAATCCACAATCTCATCATTCGTTCCCTGCAAGTTACCTCAACAATCAGACAAGAATCAAGGACAGAAAAATCCACAAGACTGATAAAAGTTTTACATACATGTATTACAAGAACTTGAGAGTTGACATGTCGAATCTTGTCTATGTTCTGCAGTAGAAACAAAGAGATGAGACAAGACCAAACCCAAAAGGAAAAGACATTTCTTTTGTGTTTTAACTTACTTTGAAAATGTCGAACCAGAGTGTCATTTTGACAGGATAAAGAACTCTAATGCCAGAGAGAATGGCACTGTGAAGAACAACTCCTCTCAGCCTTTTCAAACGAGCAGCCATGTGCAACGTTGGTCCGCTTCCTACAGATTGTCCATACAGAATCAGCTCTTCTTGTTTGATCCCATAATCACTTCTCAAACAATTGTACACTGCCTCAATGTCATAATACGTGTTGAACTCAGAAGGCTATATATACGCACACACCAAAGAAACAAGAATTTATTAAAGTCAGAAAAAAAAAAAAACATATTAAGGTTATGAAAGTTGAATTGGTTTCTCTTTTGTGTACCTTTCCTGTTGAAGCTCCATAGCCAGAATAATCATAACTGTTCCAATTACATCAAACAATATAAATGTAAAGAATCTATAACAAAAACACATAAATCTTTCAATTTTCTTTATGTGTCTTTGATATATATATATGTACCTCATGATGTTGACACGGAGATGAGCACGAAGCTCCATGAAGAGCTCAATCATTTGACCAAGATCAGCTGCGTTGCCATGTGAATAGAGAAGCGTGAATCTCGCAAAAGGGTGTCTCCAAAACGTGGCTACGACTTTGTTACCGGACTTTGTGGTAAGCTGGTGGACTTCCATGTTCTTGTCTTGAGAGACACCGGCAAAGACCAGCTTCCCTGTCTCTTCCTCCGTGGTTATGCCGTATGTTGCAGGCTCCGGTGGGAAAAAAGCGAACTTAGCCGCCACGTTTGATGTCACATTACCCATTT